TATATAGTTATATCCTACACTGTAAGATATATGGTTTTATATCCTGCTTTGTTGCTTAACATAATGTCATAGCTTCTACTTGAAACTCTTTGAAAATAATATTTAAAAAAAAAAAGATTTTATTTGTCAGAGAGAGAGAGTATAAGCAGGGGGAGGGGCAGGCAGAGCGAGAAACAGATTCCATGCAGAGCAAGAAGCCCGATGAGGGACTTGATCCCAGGACTCTGGGGTCATGACCTGAGCCAAAGGCAGATGCTTGACTGACTGAGCCACCCAGATGTCCCCGAAATAATATTTTTAAATATTCTTTCATCAGACAGTGAAGTTGTTTTCCACTTTTCTCCAATGCAAAGAATGATTTAGCAGACATCTTGGTTCATTATCTTTGTCTACATTTTGAACATTTATTTTCCTACTTAGGAGAAATTTGTAGTGAAATTATATGCCAAAGGATATAAACATTTTAAAGACTTTCTCTTTCTCTGTATATAGACATATACCTTTCTTAGGTAAAGGTCTTACCAGTTTATACTTCCCTCAGCATCAAATGAGAGTAAGTATCTGTCTTCCCTCGCCTTCAAACATTTCCTAATTTGAAAAGGTAGAAGAGTAATATGTTATTTTTATTTGCATTTCCATGATAATCAGTGATAATGAATGATTTTTTTTTTCTTTTTTTAGATGGGGAGGTAATTTGTATTTCTTCCTTTGTGAATTATCTACTTACTGGGTGTTTTTAAAGAGATTTCTATGATCTCTTCATTTATTAAGGAGATTAGCCCCTTGGCATGTTTATTTCAAATTTTAAACCAGTTTGTGATTTGCCATTGGATTTTTTGTTAACAACTGTATTGAGGTTTAATTCACATAACATACAAGTTACCCATTTTTTCAAAATTTTATTTAAATTCTATTAATTACCATATAGTGTGTTAATAGTTTCAGAGGTAGAATTCAGTGATTCATCAGTTGCATATCACACCCAGTGCTCATTCCATCAAACAAGTTACCCATTTAAAGTGTACAATTCAGTGGGTTTTTTTGAATATTCACAGACTTGTGCAGCTATCACCATAATTAATTCTAGAGTATTTTCATACCCTCAAAAAGGAAACTGCATACCCTTTAGCTATCATCCCCCAAGCCCAACTCTCTCACCAAGCCCCCCAGCCCTAGGCAACCACTAATCTAGTTTTTGTCTCTATAGATTTGCTTCCTATGGACATATCATATATTTGGAATCACACAGTATGTGGTCTGTTGTGGCTGGCTTCTTTCACTCAGCATCATGTTTTCCTTTTTTCTTTATTTCTTTTTTTTAAATGATTTTATTTATTTATTTGCCAGAGAGAGGGAGAGAGAGAGAGAAAGAGAGCACAAGCAGGGGCAGTGGCAGGCAGAGGGAGAAGCAGGATCCCTGCTGAGCAAGGAGCCCGATATGGGACTCAATCCCAGGACCCTGGGATCATGACCTGAGCCAAAGACAGATGCTTAACCGACTGAGCCACCCAGACGTCCCTCAGCATTGTGTTTTCAATGTTCAATATTTTATTCCTTTTTATGACTGAATAATATACCATGCTTTGTCTATCCATTCATTACTTGAGGGATATTTGGGTTGTTTCCACCCTTGACTATTATGACTAATGCTGCCAAAGCAATATAATTTAGATTTTAGGTTTTTAAAACTTTGTTTACTAAAGTTTTAAATTCATACCAACCCTATTGCTTGTCTAGATTGTATTTCTTTAGTTGTTTAAGATGAACAAATCTTTTCCCAAACCAATGATAAAATTTTCACCTTTTTAATTTTTTTTAAAGATTTTATTTATTTGAGAGGGAAAGAGAGAGAGCACGGGCAGGGGGAGGAACAGAGGAAGAGGGAGAAGAGAATTCCCCACTGAGCAGGGAACCCCATGGGGCTTGATCCCAGGACTCCGGGATCATGACCTGAGCCAAAGGCAGCCGACTAACCGACTGAGCCACCCAGGCGCCCCTCATCTTCTTAATTTTTAAAATCTATTTTATTTTTTACTTCAGTCTATAATCCATCAAAGCTTTATTTTGGGGTATATGAGAATTAGGAGGCATCTAAATAGTCCTTCTGTCCCTTCATCCTCCCCACCAAATAGGTAACTTTTTCCAGCACCATCTGCTGAGTCATTCTTCTCACCAACCATTTTCTTTATTCTATACTGATTTTTAATGCTTTCTTTACCACGTATTAAGTTTTTATGAGAATGAAGCTTGAGTTTAGGGTTCTCCATTGTATTTAATTGCTGTTTAATTCTTTATAAATGTAATATAAAATAGGACTACACTTTATTATTTTTTAAATTTTAGTAAGAGGCATAAAACCTATATAAATGGAATTTTCCTAGATAGGAAATTGGATATTATAAAGAAGAACATTGTTGCAACTATAATTTAAAATTCAGTGCAAGAAGAGGGGTTATGTGGCTTGTACTCTGAATTTTATTTGAAAACTGAGGAAGTTTTTTTTCCATGATTATTGATTTTGTCAGATTTTCTACTTGTTTTGAGACAATTTTGGTAATTAATATTTTTCTATAAAAATCGTATTGAAATTTTAAAAATTCTTAGCATAGAGTTTTCACGTCAGTATGTTTCTAAAATTCTTCTCCATATCTGTCATTATCATGTCTTTCTCATTGGCTTATTTATATTTTCTCTTTTGTTTCCTCAGTATATTTTCTAGAGCTTTGACTCTTTGGCCAGCTGACTAATAATAGGTCAGTAATTTGGGAGAAATGAAGAGTTTTTCTTTTTTGAAGCAGTGGACGACTGTACAATGGGTCTGTCCCAAGGAGCTCATGCCTGTAAAATAGAACAGGGAATTGGCAAGAGTTGATGCCTGGCACTGGACTACTCAGGGTAGGGTCTGAACAATTCTGGAGGAATTCCAGGGAACTTATTGCAGTTTTAAGTAACTGATTGGGTGTTTTAAGTGAATGAGGTTATTTTCTTATCCAGGAAGAACCTCAGAAATGGAAAAAATGGGATGGTTCAGGCATCTAATAATAAAATACTAAAGCTTGACGTGATATAATTATTCAGAAGAAGAATATTAATTATCACTGATCTTTTTGGCTCTTTCCTAAACAGGCTCCCTAGGTGGGTGGTTGTTGCTTGGGTGGTGTGTATGGCTCTGTCCATGGGGATGGGTCCTGGCTGTTGTAGGAGTCACCCATCAAGGAGAGAAGGCAGCAGGGAAGGGCAGATCCAGCAGAGAAAATGGCAGCCTCCGTTAACATGGCTGGAGAGCAGGGAGGCAGGGAGGCTACTGCAGTTAGCCTTTGAGGGGGATAATTAGCGCTGATAAAGGAGTCAGTAGGATTGGAAAGGAAAGGAGAGCTATAGCAGATTCACTGATACCTAGTGAAAACCAGTATCAACCCTCCTTGGAACTCCCAGGGTCCTTGGCCTTGTCTCTTAGCACTAAATTCTGCTGGGATTCCTGTTATGCAAGCAAGGTCAGACACCCGGCTGCGTCTGCCAGGCCTTGTGGAATAGTGAGTCATGGGGGGAGATCCCAGAGAGGGGAAGAGCAGCAGGAGTGTGCCTCCTTCCCATCACAGTCTGGGGCTGTGCGGAGGCATCTGTCAGCGGACAGATGTCAGGCTCTAGGATGAGACCATTGTCCAAGGCTGTGGGGTTTGTAAGCTGCATTTCTGGGAAGCCTTGGTCCTCTCCCCAGCCTGAGCAGGTCCTGGAGGTCCTTGCCTCACAGTTACAGCAATAGGACACGATGGTGCCTTGCCCCCTTAGCCCAGCTCCACCACCTCAGCCTTCATGGTCATGGGAGCACAGCCTCTCCCCCGGTATGACCTGAGATCTAGTGTGCAAGCCTATGGGTGCAGCTTTCTGGGGGACACATCAATGGCCTGATGCACCACCCCAGCATTCTACTAGGACTGAGTGCTGTGAGCTCTGCTGGTGGCCACCTCCTTCCCTGGGAGGCCAGCCTGTAGGAGTCAGCCAAGAGAACCCCTACCTCTCACTGGACCTGCCCTTTTAGATTGTGGGCTGTCAGAAGGCATTCATCTTCATGTCCGCTCAGTGCCTGACTTGTTTGGCTGGCTCTGTAAGTGGTTTAGGAATGAAGAAGAGCAAGCCCAAGAAGGGGACTAGATAAACCTTTCTTCTCTTAACCATTCTTAACCATATTGTTCCTCTTGGGGGATCTGATGAAAGCTTTGGACTATCTCCAGAGAAGTATAGGCAAACACACACACACACAGAATCTTGCACACCGCCTATCAGTTGATGAACCCTGGTTAAGAGCCCCTGCCTTAGAGCTCTGGTAGGTTCCACTTACACCATCTCAGCATCATCTCATTCTGTGCCATGGCCCACACATCTGCATACCCCTCCTCACCTGCTCTGAGTCTGTGCACAGTGTAGGTGTTGGCTGGGGTACCAATCTGGATCCCAGTTACATTGATCCAAGGTTTGTTGAAAAAGATTGCATTTCACTGTTGCTCCAGAGAGGATCCATTGGCTAGCCATGACCCTGAGGAATAATGGCTTCCTGGGCAGCACAGGTTTTACTTGATGTTCAAAACATGACGTTTAAGTGGACAGCCCACTTAAACCCCTGACCCCACCTAAGGAGAAGTGGCCTTGTTTCTTCGAAGCCACCAAAGCCAGCAGTGCAGGAAGCCTGGAGCTAAAGCTTCCAGAAACCCACTGGTTGAGACTAGACTTGCCAGCCTTGGGCAACATCCTGTTTCAGACTTTTTGGGCTTCTTCTCCACAGTCTTCCTCTTGCTGTCACCCTACCCTTTGGCCTACCGGGTAATTGACTTTTTCCCAGTAGGTTGTTTTTCATGATTTCCTGAGTCACTCCCTTCAGCTTGTATTTATTTGACATTCTGAGCCATTTCCTATTTGGTAATGTTTGGGGCTTTCATGGGGTGGAACGTCCCATCGGTTCTCCTTCCTTGTGTTCCCATTCAGTGATGTCTTTTGTTCTGTAGATTCTGGCTGTGACTCAGTCACCGACACCGAGACGGAGGACGAGAAGGTCCCTTCCTACTTGAAGCAGCAGAACCTGCCGCTGCAGACTTCACCTGGGAACCTGATGGTGGTGCAGCCGGACCGTATTCGCTGTGGGGTAGGCACTCGTGGGGCTGGTGGATCAGGGGCAGAATATGGCCTTTTTAATGGATGTATTTGTTGCAGTAAAGGGAGTGTAATCTCAGCCTTCCCTTGGGGATTCCGTTGTAGATTAGCTGCCCTGGGAATCCCAGTACCTGGGCCTTGAGCACACCTCACTCCTTTAAGTAAGAGAGAGGTGAGCTCAGGAAAGTGTGTGTCATCTGAGACTTTCTAAGTTCATAGATCAGAAACGCAGAGCGTGTGGCAGGCATGAGCCGTACCAGACACTTAGGCCAACCCTGAAGGTAGAGGCCTGGGTCTGTTCCTGCGAGCCTGAGGCTGGGAGACGAAGATGGGGGTGGGGGGCACTTTGAAAGCCTGCTTCTCCATCAACTGACCACTCCAATACCCCAAGTGAATGCCTTGAAGCTTGCTGGCTAAAATTTGCCAATATTGCTTGCTAAAGGGATAAGATAAAAGCCAAAGCATAATGTGACACATTTTCAGGGTGGCACCTATGTTAACAGGTGACTTGAATGTGATGGCCCAATTGATGGTCTACTGTCATTTGAATTCTACCATAGAATTGGTAGTTTTTCATTATCTTTCCTTTCTTGATGAAAAATATGTGATATTAGTTCAGAGCAGCAGAATGCTTCCCTGTGGATATGAGCCCTTTACTAACTTTGCCACCGTGGTGTCCTTGGGGCAAGAGGGCGTGGGAGCCTTGGCAATGGGAAGTACTAGCCTCCTTGCACCTGTGAGTGATTTTCCATGCAGCCTGAGGCCACGAGGCGTTGGGCAAGGACTCCTTCCATGGGGATTGCAGACTGCTGCTTTGCAGACTGCGGCTAGATTGAGCTCATAGACATGTTGGGTTTAGATTACACAGTGTTTTTAAAAATTAGGTATGAAAATCGATTCCCAGCTTCCTTTGAATCAGGATCTGGGAATACCAGGCCTTAGGTGAGTGGCCGGGCCCAGCAGCCCATTAGATGAAGCATGCATCCCCTAGTTCACGGCTCCCACCACTCCCTTTTCTTTCTTCACAGCCCACTTCATGCCCCCTCCTCATTGGCCAGGACTTTGTGGGCATTTCAGTTTCCAGTCTCTCCATATGCCTTCCTGTCTTCCCCGAACTCCTCTCATCCTAAGACTGGCTGGTGGGCACCTGTGGATGAGGGTGTTTGCAACTGAAGAATGGTGCCCTTCACACACCTCCCTGATTCTCCAGACGTTCGTTCTTTCTCTTGTCCTGGCTTCCAGGATTCAGCTTCTCTAGGTCTCTGGATCCTGGGGCGGCCAGGCTGGGGCTGGATCCTGCTGTCAACAGAGAGGACACACTCATTCTCTCTGACTCCCCATGCCGCCTGGGAGAAGAAGCAGGCGGGACAGGGCTGGGCCTGCAGCCGGAGACAGGACCACCACAAACACATTCACATTTAGCCTCAGCAGCCTCCGGAAGCCAGGACCTAGCCTCTCCCTCACCTGTTGTGAAATGGTGGCCCTTGTCCTGAAGGGCTACTATGAGGTCTTTATAGTAGAATCTAAGGACGAACATTTGGAGATTAGCAATGACTGGAAATCTCCCCCCCCCCGCCCCCCCGCGTCCCGCTCTTTGGAGGGCCTGTCCTTATCAGTTCAAGTTTTAAAAGGCCCATTCCCCATTTAATGAGCCCAGTAAAACAAGATCATTGCATGTTGCGGGCCTGGCAGGAGACCTTCAAGCAAGGTGATATAGCTATTCAGGTTGTTCTATGCCTGGGGAAAATCAGTCCTCCAATAAGGTATTTGTGCCCTTTCAAGAACAGTGTAAGAAGCGGAACCCAAGAGGGCTTCTCTAGGCTGGCGCCTCTCACATCGTAAGGTGCATGTGAGTCACCCGGGGGTCTCAGTAAAATTCAGACTTTGATGGTTCAGTGGGTCCAGGAGGGGCCTGGGATTCTGCATTTCGAATCCACTTGCAAGTGCTGTCAGTCCACTGGCTTCCCATTGAGTAGCCAGGCTCGTGTCAGAAGAGTGCTTCTCAAACTATCTGTGAAGACTCATTGTTGTTTTTCAAAATTCCCAATTCTGCCATGCACCAGTGCTTTTATAAAATGCAATAAAAAAGAAATGCGATAAAAATGAAATAAAAAGATGAAATACAAGCCCCAGGATATTAAATTATTACATTAGATTCAACAGACATAAAATTACTCCCATCAAATTGCTATAAAGGTTTATAAACGTTCACTTCTCAGTCTTTGTAACTTGTCTCTTTGGGACCCATGGCAGACAGGCCCAGTGCTGGACTGCAGACCCCACCCTGCTCTGGGACAGCCTCACCAGATAGAGCTGGGGCTCGGGGAGACAGGAGACCCTCTGCCCAGCACCCTGATAGAGCACCCAGGAGGGAGAGGGGACACTGACTGGTCTCCTGTTCCAGGTGGAAACCACTGTCTACGTCATTGTGAGATGTAAGTTGGATGAGAGGGTGACAACAGAAGCAGAATTTTCTCCTGAGGATTCTCCCTCAGTCAGGGTGGAAGCCAAGCTGGAGAATGAATACACCGTTTCCGTGAAAGCCCCCAGTAAGTAGCCCCGTCTACCTCTGGAAATCAGGCATCCTGTTCAGGAAGAGGCCCACTCTTGCTTTCTTTTACTTGTCCTGTCTTTCTTCAGCAACTGAGAAAAGTGACAGCCAAGATTTGGATCTGGTTGGCATGTTCTATTTAAAGGAAAAGGAAGTTGCAGAAACATACATGTGCAATGGGGAAAAAGTGGATATTGTAAAATTTTTTATCCTTATGAAGTTAAGATATTAAAATTTTTTGAGGAGCACTCGAGTGGCTCAGTTGGTTAAGTGTCTGCCTTCAGCTCAGGTCATGATCCCAGGGTCCTGAGATCAAGCCCCACATCAGGCTCCCTGCTCAGTGGGAGAATCTTCTTCTCCCTCTCCCTCTGTCCCTTACCCCCACTCGTGCTTTCTCTCTCATTCACTCTCTCTGTCAAATGAATCTTTAAAAAAATTTTTTTTGAAATTAGAGAAAAATAGAAAAAAATTCAGACTGTTTTTTGTTCACAATTTTAAAAACAGTTGTTTTCAATATTCTGTTTTTCTTGATATAATCTTATATTTATTCTCTCAGCATCCTTTTGCCCCATGCTGTTATGTGGACTTTGTAACTTTTTTTTTTTTTTTAAGATTTTATTTATTTGAGAGAGAGAGACAGAGACAGAGACAGAGTGCAAGCAGAGGGAGCTGCAGTCAGAGGGAGAAGCAGGTTCCCTGCTGAGCAAGGAGCCTGATGCAGGACTCCATTCCAGGACCCTGGGATCATGAGCTGAGCCGAAGACAGACGTTTAACCCTCAACTGACTGAGCCACCCAGGCGTCCCCGTGTAACTCTCCATTTTATAACATATTTTTTCTATTGTAAAAGTTATGTGTGCTCAATACTGAAAAGTTGAAGAAGACAGCCAAGGTAAAGGAAAGTAAATAGAAAATTGCCTGTATACCCCAAAGGAAATCAGTGATTTCTGTATTTTTCTGTTTCTATGTACATAGCTTCGTATAGTCTCCTAGGCCACTTTCGTTACCTGGAAGATACCTATGAGTATTTTCCCATGTTAATAAATATTCCTTTACAACATAATGTTTACTGGTTGCAAGCTAATCCCTTGTATAGATGTATCGTAATTTATAAAACCAGTTCCTTGTGTTGGACTTGTATCATATTATAAATCGTCTTGTTTAAAGCTGCATCATACTCCATTGAAAAGAAGTATCTTTTAATTTTTCACCTCCTCATTGTTATGTATTTATGTCATTTCTGATTTCTTAGTGTCTTCTTATTGTTTTAAATTCTGATATATCAAGCCTCTTTATGCTTGCATGGATTGAGGAGTATTTCCTCAAGATGGAGCCCCTGAAATGCCAGGCATTTTTTTTTTTTCTCAAGATTTTATTTATTTATTTGACAGAGAGTGAGAGAGGGAACACAAGCAGGGGGAGTGGGGGAGGGAGGAGCAGGCCTCCGGCTGAGCGGGCAGCCTGATGCTGGGCTCCATCCCAGGACCCTGGGATCATGACCTGAGCCGAAGGCAGACGCTTAATGACTGAACCACCCAGGCGCCCCAAATGCCAGGCATTTTTCAGGATCCTGGAAAACAGGGCTTACTTGCTTTCTGAATACTACTCCTGTTGAGTTTGCTGTGTCATCACCAACACTAGGCATTATCATTTTTAAATATTTTGCTAATTGGATGCCTTTTGAAGGAGTAGCCCATTGTTTTAATTTGCATTTCTTTGATTACTATCCGAGGCTGACTATTTTTCCATGTTCTCTACTTGTTGCATTTCCTCTTTTGTCAATCGAATCTTTGTGGTTGGTGTATTTTTAATTTTTTCTTTCCCCCTCAAAACCCCTTCCTGTGGTGGAGAAGAGCTAAAGAGCACATAGTCATGACAGCAGCAGAGCCGGTGAATCAGTTATCCCAGTCCAGTGTCGGGGGAGCACTGAGTTCCGCCCGCCAGGATCTTTCCCACCTTGTGGCCACCAGTGATCTCTGTAGAAAGTGCTTTAAGCTCAACTCCTCTTCCTGTTTGTCATGGTCCTGGGCCTACCGTAGCAAACAAAACAGATGAAAATCCTCCAAAAATTAAATTGCAGACACAAATGAGGACAATTTTTCTAACTCAGAGGCCTCTCAGGTGCTAGTCCCCTCACTTCCTGCTTCTACCATTCCCCTCACCCCTCTCTCCCCGGCCTACCTCCCAAATCTTTCTTCCAGCCCCCAGTTAATTTCTTTCCCATTAAGGTGAATCTGTGGACACGTTCCCCTGGACCCTTATTCCTCCTGGGCACATTTGTGGTATTTTTTTTTCTTCTCTTCAGGCCTTTCATCTGGGAATGTTTCCTTGAAGATCTATTCTGGGGATTTAGTGGTGTGTGAAACTGTGATCATCTATTATACTGACATGGAAGAAATTGGGAATTTATTGTCCAATGCTGCAAATCCCGTGGAGTTCATGTGTCAGGTAAGGATGTTGAAAGGAAGCCTGAGTTTTTGGGACATGTTGTTTCTGCTCGTTCTTCAGCTTTGCATCTGCTGGATGCGAGATGGCTGGATTTAAAATCTGACCTGACCGTCTTCACTTTTATGTTCAGGCCTTTAAAATTGTGCCCTACAACACAGAGACCCTTGATAAACTGCTCACTGAGTCCCTGAAGAATAATATCCCTGCGAGTGGACTACACCTCTTTGGAATTAACCAGCTGGAAGAAGAAGATATGATGACAAGTGAGTCAAAAGTCAAGCCTCAGGAAACCAGCTGTGGGTTGATTCTAGTTTGCTGGTCTCAGCATCCAGTCACCCTGTGCTTGCACCTTGCTGGTTCCCGCTCTGCAGCTCATCCTCTGAGAATGATTCCTTCACTAGCTAGCTAGAGAGTCTTCTAAATTGTAAATCTGAATACCTCGACCCCTTGCTAAAAACCCTTTGTGGTTCCCATTTGCCTTCTAGATAAAGTCCAAACTCCTTACCATGTTTGCAAGCCCTTCCCCAGGGGTTCCTGCTGCATTTCTGCCCTCCTCTCTCTCTACACTGTCCCTGGGCTCTACTCTACAGAAAGTATGAACTTCTTTCACCTCATGAAAATTCTGCCCTGCCTCTTGCCACCTGAACTCATGGGAGTACGGTTTCTTCCTGTCCTCACTGGTGGCTCTGCACCTGGCTAACTTCTCTTCACCTCCGTACAGCGGCCTTCAGGACGCTGTACAGCACTTCCTCAGGAAGACCTCTCGGAACCTTCGGTAGGTTCTGTCTACGTGCCGTGGGCTCCCCTAGCACGTTGGGTGTCCTCTGTACTCATTCTCCTCAGCTGTGCCTGTCTTCTCTGCTAGGCTGTCAGCGCAGTGAGGGCTGAGGCAATGCCTGGGTGGCTAATTGTAGGATCGAAACAAACATTTGTTCAGTGAGGGAGGAGCAGTCTGCTGTGCACATGTGACATGCTGGGAGCTGGGATAACCGATCGTGTGGGGGTGGTGCCTGGGGGGCTGACGAGATGCCTGGTAGGGTGCTTCTGTGGATACCGCTCTTCCTTCACATTGCATCATGGAACCTGGTTGCCCTCTGCCCGGTGTCCCATCCTTCCATGGCCAAGAGAGCCATAAGGATGGGGTTATAATACCCTCACGTCCTTCTCCTGAGGGCATCTTATTGCCTCTCCCCCGTTTTCTACTGTGGAATGTTCCTGCATTACTTCGAGCAGTGTTAATATTCTTGTTGTTAAACTTGGGGCTCAGGAAGAGTATTTCAGAGCCTGCCGATGAGGGGTCCTGGGGACATTTTCAGACCCTTCATCCCAAGGATCATATCCTGGTGAATAGGAAGCTGAGTTTGTTTTACTAAAAAAAATCTGTATGCATATATATTTATGTGTGTGTGTGTGTGTGTGTGTACATAAAAGTATATGTCTGTCTATCTATCTTTCACTGTTGGGTTTAGAAATCAACTTTTATGCAAACAAACAAAAGAAAGATTTGTCCCCAACTCCATAACACAAACGTGTCTATTTTCTTGGTAGAGTTTGACTTGCTGGATCCAGATATTAGTAGGCAGAGGAGGTCACGGGGATCCAGTGACCCTAAGGAGTACTTTGTTTCCCATGAATCAGAGGGTTAATGGACATCCTGTGGTTCAGGTGTATTAATGCCAACATTCAAAACCTGTCCTAAACAAAGAACTCACTGAATACCATCTTATTAATCCTCCCAGCCCTTTTGAGATAGTTTGGAAATATCTTCTAGTTCAAAACTAAGGGCCATGGAAAGGCTAATTAACATACCTAGGATTACTTGGCATGCTTTATGAAATTTGGAATAAGAGCTAAGATGGACTTAATTTTTTTTAATCAGCACAAAGCAATTGTGATAAAGTGCTGTGAAATTTACAGAGAAGGTCAAAACATGATTCCTGTTGTACTTTGTGGCTGCTACTTAAGCCTTTAGAAAATCAGCATCTTTTGAATTAGTATTATTTTTCAGGATTCTTTGATCCTTTTAGAGAAAGAAGGTAGAATGTTATTAGATTTGCTAATTAATTAACATACCATTTCTTCCGTCATTTGAGGGCATAATCTTCAGTTGTGCCTCAAAGGAAGCTGTCAGATAGTAGGCCAGTCAACCGAGAAGTAATGATTGAGTGCCTGCTGGATGCCCTGGTAGTCTTGCCAGCTTTGTCTGCATGAACAAGGGTGCCGTGCCTTCATTCTTATTTGTCCATTGTTTTCCTGAACAATCTTTCAGATCAGAGGGATGAAGAGCTGCCCACCCTGCTGCATTTTGCTGCGAAGTACGGACTGAAGAACCTCACCGCCTTGTTGCTCACCTGCCCGGGAGCCCTACAGGCGTACAGTGTGGCCAACAAGCATGGCCACTATCCCAACACCATTGCTGAGAAACACGGCTTCAGGGACCTGCGGCAGTTCATCGACGAGTATGTGGTAAGGTCAAGGCGGGAGAGGCCCCAGGAATGGAAATGCACTCTGTGGTCCTAGGGCTTACCTGTTTGCTAGAGACACGGTTGGATTTCATCCCTAGCGTGTGCCCCTTTGCCTCTTCTCTGGCAGGGCCAGTATGTGTGGGCTTACGAGATGCGCCCTGAGTTTCCGGGCCCCTGGGTGGCTCAGATGGTTAAACGTCTGCCTACGGCTCAGGTCATGATCCCAGAGTCCTGGGATCGAGTCCCGCATCGGGCTCTCTGCTCCTTGGGATCCTGCTTCTCCCTCTGCCTCTCTCTCTCTCTCTCT